GCAGTGTACTTCGTCGATCTGCCTGTTCTGCTCCCCATTCTGTCTCTGGTGAATCCTCTCACCCTCCGCATCTCTGGCCTGTACCCCAGCTCTGTATGAATAAATAAATAAATCTTTAAAAAAAAGTAAACATTTACTCAAAAAAGTAGTAAACTGTGAAATTATTTCTATGAACAAAGTGGAAATGTTAATAAAAGCATAATGATTGCCATATCTGAAATTGTACGAAAATACACCATAGATGTTGATGTAGTAATCTTCTTGAAATGAAGTTGACCAAATCTATATTAGGTCCTCTGCTAAGTACTACAGTGCCTTATCTTTGTTCTCAGAAAGTCTCTCAAAAGAAAGTTTGATTAATTATGCAAATGACAAATGTCTTTTCCTTCAAATTACTGAAAGCAAATCTTTGGAAATTTAACTCTCACAAATTCCAAGGCTGTAAGCAGAGGCCAATCAAGAGGAGACCAGAGAGGTAGAAGGCAGCCTGCCTGGTGGCAATTGTATTATTATGATCAATGTGATTAGAACCATAAAGACGGAAGACGTGTTCTTGGCGAGTTTGGGTGGGTTTTTTGTTTCCGCATTTCAAATGAGTTGGTTGAACTCCAGGTTGTATAGAATTCATAACAGAATAAGATGGAGGACAAACACAGGGTTCTGGGCTGGTCTGACTGATCATAGAAATGGCTGAGTGAGAAGAACTAAAGAGAAGATGAGCCAGTATATGATTGTTCTTTTTTCTTTTTAACAAAAGTGTATTCTGAAATGTCTAGTAGACTCTAGCTATTGGTGATAACAAATGTTATAGCAGAAAATTCAGATGTTTAAACACAGATGGAATTAGGCATCACCACTGCTTAGGAATAGTTGGTTACTTTTGCCAGATTTCTTAATTCCACCTGTGGCCAGAAAGGCCTTTCCCTGAAGTCTTCACTTCTGGCTCCTTAAATTTCTTCTTCTCCTCTTTCTGTTTCTCCTTGAATGTTTTATCCATCTCATCCATGGCTTTGGCCTGCCTCTGAGATTACCTCACAGACAACTTGTCACACCCGACATAATGCCTTCTGCACCTTCCCCAGACCCTCTTGTTACTGCTTTTTGATCTCCACAGGTACCAGATGTGCATCTTACAGCCAGGACTCTGCAGGCTGCTCCCACTGTCCACTGTCATTTGCCAATGACTGCAAGTTTATACTAGCCCTGAAATAATGGTTTTCATCAAGCAAGGCAAGGCTTGACTTATAGCACACTACAAGTTTCTATTTTTTTCTAAGTTGAGGTACAGTAAATCTTAAGTGCACACTGCACAATAATTTCTTACAGTGTATACACCTGTGAAACCACCACCTAGATCAAGTCACAAAATATTATTTGTTTTGCAGAAGGAACTCTGATAAATCACACTCCTTAAAGATTTTTACTGATCAGAAAGAGGATGTTTCCAATATAGCACTCAAAAAGAGAAACAGTAAACAAAGATTTACAGTCTAAGTCATTCAAAAGTGCAGTTTGTCCGGGAGCAAAATCCCCAAATAGTTGAGAACAGGAACCAACACTGCCACAGTTCATGCTGTATGGACATGCTGTCCACACAGTGGCTATTAAAGACTTAGCAAGACTCCTGCTCCCACAGATTTATCCCTAAGGGGAAAGTGCAGTAAATTGGTATAGCTAAACTTAGCTAAATGAAACAAGCATTTCTCTCATCTACATGGACAAGAAAGAACAAGAGACTTTCAACTACTAAAGAATAAGGCAACACTACTCGGGGAAGGTTTTGTGCACAGAAATTCTGGCAGGAAGGGCCACCTCACATGTCCTGACCTCCCAGGCACTGGCTTCCCATTCAAGCTCCATCTGGAAATCAATGGGAAAAGGTTGGAAACTCTGGAGATTTATTTTTATTTATTTATGCATACCAGAACTGAGGTATATGTCAGAGATGGGTGTGTATGAGAGAGAGAGGATTCACCAGAAACAGAGTAGGGAGCAGAACAGGTGAATCTACTGAAATACATTGCTGAAGGGAACAGGGGGAGAGACAGGAGAGGTCTGCTGTGCCATGTAGGTCACTCATGCTGCAGTGGTTGGGGGATAGCTTGAGAGCACTGAGACTTTAACCCCTGCACCTCTGGGGAGCCCTAAGGCTGGGAACTTTAACTTTCAAAATCCCATGGTACAAAGAAGATCAACAATGAAACAGGTCTAGCTCAAAAAAGCTGAGGAGGGGACAGACATGTAACAAGTATGTAACAAGAACAACAAAAGTCAGAGCCCCACAACACATTTTTGAGTCCCTGCTCTATGCCAGACTGTGCTTAGCAGTTTGCATAGATTTTGCTCATTTATTTCTCACAAAAGCCTCAAGAGTATGAATTATTATTATCACATTTTTACAGAAGAGGAATCTGTGTTTGGAAAAGTCAAGTAACTTCTTGTAATTAGAAAGAGAGGCAAGATATCCACCTTCAGTCCCTGGTTCAAAAACCTATATTTTAAGCACTGTCAATACATGGACCGTCCCTATAAGAGACTTCTCTGCCCAAAGCACCTCTCCCATACTGCCTGCTCACTTTGCTTCTTTATGCTACCAGGCACTCTGTCCCTCAAAGGGAGCCTTTGCATTAACCAGCATCCTCTGCTGTTGCAGGAGAGCAGGAATATGGGACAAAGGTCATCCAAGCTCAGGGATTTTCTACCACCATTGTCAACCAACAGTGATATTAGTCCTAAACATAACACTTTCTCCCTCTTCAATAAAATACTGGATTCTGTATCATCAGTGGCTAGAGGTGCCATTGTAATTGACTCTTTAGTTTGTTCAAGCTGCTCTCAAATAAAGATACTGCTCAAAGTGGGAGCCCTGTAGGTTCTGGAACTCCACAGCACTGAATTAATGCTGGTTACACCTTGCCTTGTCAGGGGACTGCACAGGGGCTCATGTTGCAGACATCAGGGTAAGGGGACCTCTTCTCAGAACCGCTTGGAAGCCCAGGTGTTGACTTTGCTCACATGGTTATTGCCCTGACTCCATTATCAGCCTGGAAAAGTCTCTGCATCAGCAGGAGTCACAGGATGTTAATAGGTCACAGCCTTAGCAAGTCACTGCTGTTCTACAAACTCATGTAATACTAGAGGGCCATTTTCCAGAAACCAAACACAGCTTGGCCCCTATATTGCCTCTCCTCCCCCGGAAGTCAGCTATCACCTGTTGAAGGTCACCCTTCCTTTTTGTTCCTTTGCTTCCTTCTTTTTCCTCTTTCCTCTCTCCTCTGCTGTCTTCCCTCTTCTCACTTCCTGCCTGATTCCCAGCCTCCTCTCTCTGACTGGCTTCATTATATCAGCAATGCTCCTGTCCTCCACATGTTTCCTCCCACCCCTACCCTCCAGTCTGAATCCACATTCACAAAGAAATGCTCTGTTCTCCACTCTGGTTGTCAGAGAGAAGCAAACTTGTTGGGTGCTTGCCCCAGAAACAGCAACCTTGGGGTGCTGCTGTACTATCTATGTAGGGCTTAACCACACAGATGGTACTGCATAGCCATAGCACTACTCAACCTGTAAATTAAGTTCAGGCTGGGCACCCCACATAGGCAAAGTCAGCTGCCAAATATTAACTTTCGTAAGTAATTTCACAACTAATAGTGCTTAAGACATCAGAATAGTTACCATGGGAAAAGTTAGAACTTTGTAGGACTTCCTCATATTTCATTTTACACGTCTGACTTTTTATATTTTTTATCATAAATTGGAGGCATGAGGGTTAGTGCTTGAGGGTGCCTCACATCTTCAGACAGCGTGCAGGAGAACTGTAGAAACGCAAGGGAGTGTACAGCCATTCCACCCTGCACGCGCCCGATCTTGTCTGATCTAGTCAGCTAAGCAGGGTCGGACCTGGTTAGTACTTGGATGGGAGACACGCAAGGGAGTCTGGGCACATGCGCAAAGGGTCAGAAGCTGTGTCTGTTACCTTCTCCATGCGTTCGATCAGCCTGTCCAGTTCTCCAATCCTCTGATCTTTCTCCTCTAGGCTCATCTCTGCCACCTGCATCTTCTTATTGGCTTCTTCAATCGCTTTCAGAAAACTATTGGTTTCTTCCTGCAAAAGAAGCACACTCCTCTCAGCACAGATATGGAATCCCGAGGCTATCAACCAGGGTCGGAGTGCTCTGCTTTGCTGCCTCGCTGCCTTGCATGATGTCTCTTTAAAAGCCCGACCTTGGGACCTAAAAGTGTCTCACCGATGGTGAGCTCCACTTCCAAGATTCTGGTTCTCACCTATGGATAAAAACACAGCGTATAATTTTTTCTCCTTTCCCTCCTTGAGTTTTTTGTCTAAAAAGAACCTGCAAATATTTTCTAACATTTGATTAATGCTCAAAGTGTTATTATATTTACCAATACTGTAAAGGGGATTAGGGTCAGGTCTGTAAGTGAATGCACAAACTCCACGTATGTCTCCTCCACTCAAAGCACCCACGCATCCTATGGAGAAAACCAGGCCATGCCATCAGTACATTTGCTAGACCTTCAAGAATAGCAGCTGTGGAGGCATGACTTCAAGAAATGGGTGCTGTCTCCCAGGGGTGCTAGGGAGAAAAGGCCCAACTCTAATAAAAGCACAAGAGTCCACGGCAAGAGTGGAGGGGGTGTGGCTTCCCAAAAGCAGTGCCTCGAGCCATGTGAATGGGAAGGGTGTTGTTCGCAAAGAGGAGGTTATGGCACTTCCAACTCGTTTAGGGAGCTTAGTTCAGATCACGGGCAGGGCAAGAGGAAGTTCCAGGGAAACAGGAGCAAATGGAATGAGAAAGGGCAGGGTGGCAGGTAAGCCCAGAATACTCTTGGGTGCTGGCAAATGGGCAGACTAGCTAGAAACAGAGGGGTATCTATAAGCGATTGGGTGCTGTTCCCAGGGTATGAATACAGGAAGGGAGGGGGATAAGTGAGTAAATGAATCCATTCCTTTAATGCTCATGCCTGTGGAAGTCCACAAGAAACCACATGATTTAACCCTACAATGAGCGGAAAGCTCTCGACTACAGCTTACACACCAGGAGAGCCTCTTTCTCGGCCCTGTGCTTCTGCTGCTCTTCATGCAACTTTTCTTCATACTGGCTGTACAGCTTCTTGGTCATCTCTCTCATCACCTCCGCATTGGCTTCTTGAGAGCATTCCACCTGTAAGGAGACTCATTTCAGAGCTTCTGTTGACCCCAGGGGAATCAGTGCTGAGAGAAGCAACTGGAATTAATGGAAAGGGTAGAAGTGTAACAAGGTGGTCCCCAGGAAAAGGGGAGCTTTCAAGTTTCCTGTCCCACCCAAAGGAGGGTGGAGCTGAGCAGGAAGGAGAAGAATCTGGAGAGAATGAGAAAAAAAGGAAGTAGAATGGAGAGCCAGAAGGAGACCTGAGGGAGGCACATGGAGCAGAGAGACATGTGAAGAAACTGCACTTGCTTCTTCTTGGCCCTGGACTGGGTAAAACAGATGTGGGTGAGAGACCCGTGGGAGGTTCACTGTGGCTAGGTTCACTGTGGCCGCGTTTATCTTGCTTTTGATGTTGCTCTTTTCCTCCCAGTCTTGTCTGGCCATTTCTGGCCCTTTTCTATGGGTCCCGGGCAGAAGGTGCTTTAGGCTTGTGGCCGGCTTTCAGGCCTTGCTTTGAGCCAATCCCTCTGGGATAGACTATTACCCACGAGGGGTTGGGTAAGTTTGGGTGTTTGATTTGGAAACTATATTCTTTGACTTTTCTGTATGGCACACTCATTGTATTAAAGTTCCTTTCCATTAAAGCTCTTATGTCTTGTCTTGATGCAGCGGATGGCAGAAATCAAATCTATTTAGAGCGGGCAGGTTTGGGGGTTCAGGGGTACCCCCCTCACTGCCCGTAATAGACTGAAGAAGGAAAAGGGGTAAGTGGATAACACCAAGAAAAAAGTGGTGCTTTATGCTATCAGGACATTATCAAGACAAAAGTGACTGATGTAAGTGGATTTTCAAAATGAGAAATTAATCTAAGTATCAACCCTGTTTCACAAATTTAGCCATTTTTAAGCTGACTTCTCTCTATAATGAGTCCCAGCTCCACTGCCTTCTTACACACTTTCCTCAATTACCTGTTCCTGTCTAATGTTCTTAAGATCCTGAAATTTCATCATTTTTACCTATTTTATTCTTTTATCAGTTTTAACAAAACTTTAAAAATTATATCCACACCCTCACTGGTCAAAGAAAGGCAATTTTTTTTGAATTCTTGAGTATTTTGTTGTTGACTTAAAAGTAAGAATACTACACTATTAGAACTAGGTCAGAGGAGGTTCAACTATAACACTGAAAAGTAAAAAGGTTACCTATAGGAGGAAGGAGAGAATAAGAAAGGAAAGGGAATATTACAGATCAAGATATTCTGTTTCTGAATATGCACTGCTTTATACATTTGATTTTTGACCAACTAAATAATTCCATGGGGAAACAATAGCCTTTCGACAAATGGTGCTGGGACAATTGGATTGGCCATGTGGGGAAGAACAAAGCGAGATGTCCACCCCATCACATGTAAAAATTGATTCAAAATTGATTAAAAAAATCTCAATGTGGGCCCTCCCTGGTGGCACAGTGGGTTAAAGTGCAGCACTAAGAAGCTAAAGCCACTTCAGCATGAGTTCGATCCCCACCTGCCTAGGAGGAGATCCACATAGCTCAGCAGACCTCTCCTGACCCGCCCGCTGCTCCCCTCAGCAGTGTACTTCATCAGTCAGCCTGTTTTACTCCCCTCTGTCTCTGGTGAATCCTCTCACCACCCCTGCACCTCTAGCCTGTACCCCAGTTCTGTGTGCACAAATAAATAAATCTTTAAAAAAAAAATCTCAATGTAAAAAGCTAAAACTGTAAAACTCTTAGAAGAAAGCAGAAGTTGGGCCCTCCCTGGTGGCACAACGGATTAAAGCACAGCACTAAGAAGCTATAGCAGCCACTGCAGCACGAGTTCCATCCTGGGCAGGGAGCTGACCCACATGGCATGGCAGTCTTCTCTGACCTGCCCACTGCTCCCCTCAGCACTGTACTTTATCAGTCTGCCTGTTCTGTTCCCTGCTCTGTCTCTGGTGAATCTTCTCACACCCTGTACTTGCCAAACCAAACAGAAAGACCTAAAAACTTTGGACCTTGGACAAACCTTGGAGAAGATCTAAACAGTGAAGCTTCTGAAGTCCAGGCCTGTGGGAATTCCATAATAGCAGTGCTATGATGACGTCTCAGCAGCCCTTGATGCCACTGGGGTCAAGGAAGGTGTACTCAATATGGACATTTATGGGGCACACACTATCTGAACTGATACGAGACAGAAGGGTCTTCAACCCAAGACCTATGGAGGTGGCCACACAAGGGAGAGAAAATCCAAGGAAGGAGAGAACAGAGTAAAGGAAGAGTTCAAGATGGAGAAAGAAAAGAAGGAAAGAGAAAAGTGAGGAGGAATCTTCACCTTCATTTTCAGCAGCTGGTTTTCCACTTGCGCCTCCTCTAGCTGCCTCTGCTTTTCCCGCAGCTTGTCCATGGATGCTTCGTACGTCTGCTGCAAATTTCTGATTTGATCCTTAATGCTGCTATTTTCCAAAGTAACATCCACAAGGGTTTTCTGTTGGGATAAAAGGAAAAGCAAAACTCATCTAGTGATGAACAAAAGCCTGGTCTGGGTGATGTCTGGGGTCTCCCTTTGCATTAACCATTGGGGGGATGTTAGGACACAGCACCTGCAAGGCTGAGGTGTGTGCAGGGCTAGAGGCTCACAGTGGTCAAGAGGTTTACTGGCCCATGGGTGAGTGGACGGGCTGCAAGCTGAGCCCATAATATCTCACAGTTGCTGCCAATACCGCCTGGCACAGTTTAGGATGGATGGGAAAGGATTAAAATGGAGTCTTTCCAAGGAAAAGTGTTCATAATATATCATTTCACATGGAAAAAAATAGATTTGAAAACAGTAAGTATAGACCATTTGGGAAAAAAAAAAAATAGTGTGCATAGGAAAAAAAAGACTCAAAGGAAGTTCACCAAAATCCAAATAATGGTTGTCACCATGTGATAGGATTATGGAGATTATTTTCTTCTTTGTGTTTTCTATATTTTCCATATTCCCACAGTGAAATCTGAAAACAAAGTATGTGTATTTCAGAATCGAAATAGTTCCCTTTTTTCTCCCAGGGCTGTCACTTCTGGGCTTCTAGATCGCTTGCCAGAATAGCCACCTTCCTCCCTTAGGCAGAGAAGGTGGTAGTGAAGGAGCTAGGAAATGGAGCTTGGTGACTCAGACAAGTGTCTGACAAGTACCAGAAGCCTATTGACTACTGTGCCAGGCCACCCATTGGGTCCAAAATGTTTACATTAATATTGTGCTATTCAATGCTTTGGTTTCTATTCTCCTTACAAAGAATAGCTTCCATTACCTAGAACTCCTGTCACTGGACACTGGCTATGGTCACCTTCTGTCATCTCCTAAAGTCATATACAACTCTGAAATAGATCTGGAAACTCTGGTATTGGACATATTTTTTTAAAGATTTATTTATTTATGCATACAGAACTGGGGTACAGGCCAGAGGTGCAGGGGCAGTGAGAGGATTCACCAGAGATAGAGCTGGGAGCAGAACAGGCAAATTGACGTAATACACTGCTGAGGGGAGGAGCGGACAAGACAGCAGGAAAGGTCTGCTGCGCCATGTGGGTCAGCTCCCCAGCCAGGGATCGAGCTGGCGCTACAGAGGCTGCAGCCAACTGCTGCACTGCTGCCTCAACCTGTTGCACCACCAGGGAGGGCCCTGGACATATTTTCTAATACTATTGTCCTCTTTGTAAGCGATGAGTCTTTGTAGCTTCCCCATTTCCTTAGCTTTCACATTGGATAATAAGACTCATTCTAACCCTCCTTGACAGGAAAAAGAATTTTCAGTGGTAGTAAACTGATACTAGAAAAATACTGAAGCCATTATAAAGCAAGGAATCACATAATATTTTTAGCTACAAGGAGCTTTACAAACTACCTGGCCATAATATCCATCTCTGCCCCATTGGATTTACAGATAGTCATGTTCAAGAAAGTACCCAAAGAGACCAGAGCTCACTGGGGTCTGGCTTTGCCACTTGATAAACACCTGTTCAAGTCACTTCTCTCTCTTGGTCTCAGTTTGCTTAACCATAAAACATGGAGACCAGAAACCATCTCAACAGTTCTTTCCAGCTCTGCTAGTTTATGAAATCAAACCAGGGGTCAGGTATTACTATCAGTAATCATGAAAATGTGGCATAATGGACAATGGAAGAGGTTGTGACCTTGCAGAAATAAGAAGTCAACTAACTAACTGATCCCCAGACTCAGTTTAGTTGTAAGATGGTGCTTTTCCTTTCTTCTTCTTTATAAACAATGGCTTAATCTTCTAGTTATAAGGCTCCTCTCTCTGACCAAGATCAAGAGACTGGATAACTAGGAATTAGTCAAGTTCCCAGGACCCAGTTCTAACAGCTGATTTCTGAAGCAAGACTTGCCCCTGGTTTGATTTCATGGACCAGCAGAGCTGGAAAGAACCATTGAGATGGTTTCTGGTCTCCTTGTTTTATGGCTAAACAAACAGAGACCAGCAGAGAGAAATGACTTGAACAGGTGTCTCAAGTGGTAGAGCCAGACCCCCAATGAGCTCTGGTCTCGGTACAGATTGTACTTTCTTGAGCATGACTATCTGTAAATCCAGTGGGGCAGAAGGGAGTGTTATGGCCAGGAAGTTTGTAAGGCCCCTTGTAGCTAAAAATATTGTGTGATTCCTTCCATTCCTTATAACAGCTTCAGTATTTTTTCTAGTATCTGTTTGCTACCACTGAAAATTCTTTTTCCCTTCAAGTAGGCTTAGGAATGCTTGGAACATCAACAGAAGGAAGTAAAACCTAAGATTTCATACAGATACTAACCAAGTCTAAAATCAGGGGTGGTATGGCATTTCCTGGTGGGCAGGAACAGAGAAGGGAAAGAGAGCCCTGGCCACCCCTTCATGGCAGGAGGAAGGGGAAACACAGGCTACTGACTCAGCCTATGCTAAAACAGGCTTGGCATGAGGCCAGGGGAAAACTGGCATCCACTAGAAAGAGCCAGGAAAAGGGTGGGATCCGAGGCCTGACCAGAAATGGGTCTCCCAGACAAATCCAAACACCAGGTCCACCCAGACCCCTGTGGGACAGGGGCTGAGCTTTGTTGGTACCATTGCCAACTAGGTTCTAGAGGAAATGGGTAATCCCAACATAAAAATTTGTTTGCTTATCTAATAAATTATTTATATGGAACCAGAAAGGACTGAAATAGCTGTGGAACTTTCAAGAGGAGGGCAAAAAGAAAGAGCCAGATAAAGTTGGAGGAAAGGGCAGAAACTACTACTTGAATATTTGAAAACCAAATCCAAGGGGAGGTGTTTCAGGTGAATATGCTTTTAAAAAATATTTTCAAAGTTAATTTGCATGTTTCATGGGGGCTGAATTAGAAGAGTAACAATGACAGCATGGGTGTGGTTAACTCCCAGCAAATTAAATCAATCAGGACATCCCTGCTCTTGAAGTGGATTAGTAACAGTTGCACAAATGAAGGATCCTGGGTCTTTTGACTTCCATGTCTCATGGTACAACATATTCCTTGGAATACTGTCTTTTAATACAAAATATTTTAGATTAGAACTTTGGAATACTTTCTTTTAATGCAAAATAATTCTAGATTAGGAAAAGGTACTTAACAGCCTTTAGGAGTTACTTGCCATGAAACCTGACGTACTACTTCAGGTACTGACATTTATGATCACCTGAGCATCTAAAGAAGCCAGTGACGTCTTCAGTATTGAAATCAGTCTCTCACGTCCCCTTCTGATGAGGGCTAACACAATTGTAAATCCAAGGGTTACAGTCTTAGCTTGGAAGCCTACCCTTCAACTTCCTCCACCGTTTTCCTCCTACAGTCTAAAAAAAATTCTACATAAAATGAGCAGGAGACATTTCTACAAAGGTGCAGGATCCACTTCTGGTTAGGCTTACTCACACTGTAACCGCAGGTAACTAGTCTAACAGCAAACAGACAAATACCTGCAGGCCAATGGAGTCCGAAGCCAAAGCCGAGTTCATGGCATTAAAACTGTCCAGGGCTGATGACTGTGTCTGGATGTGATTCTCTAGATAGTCCTGCTGAGCTTGTGAAACCTAGACAGATTGGAGAAGATGGTTACACAAAATCAATCCAAACACATCTTTTAAAATCTCTGATTAGGCTAGAACTTTCTCTTGATACTAGCCACATCCATGTCAACAAATGGAAAAGTCATGCAATCTGCATGACCCAGATTGCAGGAAGCCAAGCATACTTTCTCAAGGGAGACACTGTGTGGGAGCCACACAGGCAGCACAGAGAGGAGGGGAGCAAGTGGCATGTTCTCGCTTAGGGACATGTTGACAAAGCAATAATTTCACAGTCTTTTAAAAATTAATTAATTTAATTATTCATTTTTACTTTCTTCATTATTTTATGCCTTTTCCCATCTCGGTTGTAATCCCCGTGGACTTCCCTCCACCAAATCACCCATGTGCCATCACCATAGTCCTGTCACCTTTCTCACCCCATTTTTGATCCCATTCCCCTCTCCACCCCCATAATATGTCCCTGGTATATAGTTGTTCAATGTTTTTTGTTTTTTCTTTATTACAATTGCTTTTTTTCCCCCGACCCCTTACATTCCTGCTATGGGTGAAACCATCCATTATTTTTCTTTTTCTTTCTGGCTTATTTCTCTAAGCATGATCTTTTCCATATATGTTGCTGCAAAAGACAGGTGTCTATCTTTCTTGATTGCTGAGTAATATTCCATTGTGCATATGTACCACCTCTTTTTAATCCAGTCATTTACTTATGGGAATTTGGGCTGATTCCATGTCTTCCTTAATGTAAACAGAGCAGCAGTCTTAATCTGGCTGCCATGTGCAGTGTGGCCAGGGGGAAGAAGAGATTGCAGACACAGATTGGGTTCCTATGACTAGCCTAGCATGAGAAAATGAGGGTGTGCGGGAGATAGCAACAGAAAGAAAATAAGAGGCAGAACTTGTTTACAAATCTATTGCAAATGCAATCATTGGCTTTAATTACCATTGTTAGTGTTTGTCAGTGCATGGCAAAGCAAATTTCCATAAATAGGTGAGAATTCATTCTCTCCTTACATGCTAGTGAGAATAAGCTAGGTGGATATGTTTATATACCACAATCCCTATAAACAAAGCAGTATGATTTACCTAAGCAGATTATCTCCCAACTCAGCCATGAGCTACATTATATTCTATGACTGCTATAACTGTGGTTCTTTCATGCAGATATTAACTCTAATGGAAACTTATGTCCTTATACATAGATTTAATCTTTTCTTTAAAAAAATCAAAACTTCTTCTCACAAACATTAGATCTAAACCAGAGGATAGATATTTTTTTTCCTTCAATTTTTGAGGAGGTAATACATCCATTTAGTTCAGACATGTAAAGAAGTATGACAGGTACACTAGAAAATAAATCTTCCTTTCATTTCTGTCCCACCTGCTCATTAATCACCCTGCCCCCTCCCCATGCCCCTCAATTAGGAACCACTACTAATTCCTTCCTTTAGAGCACACACAAAACACTTTAGACATTTATTTTCCCATCCTGGTCTATATAAGTGGGAGCATATTAAACATATTTTCCTGGATATTATGGTTTTTTTTTTATTATCTATCCTACATCTTTGAAATTTTCCTATATCTCTTTGAGGTGCTTACCAGATCTTTTCTTTTTCTCCCTCCCTCCTTTGTTTTTCCCTTCCTTCCTCCCAACTATTCCACATATTCTATTGTACAAATGGAACTTATTTTACTTTCCCCGTTTTGATGAACATTGAGATTCTCAATCTTTTAACTATTACGAACAATGCTTTAATAACTAAGTTGATACAATGTCATTTCACATGTGAGATTTTATGTATAGAATAAATTATTAGAAGTAGAACTGCTGAAGCAAAAAGTATAGGTATTTATCATTTTGGTAGCTACTGTCAACTTATTCTCCCAAAGAGTAGTATAAAATGACATTCTAACCATCAATCTGCCTGTTTCGCCATAGCATTGCTCTTACAGTATCTTGCCTCCAGTCTAATAGGGATAATTATATCTCATGTCAGTTTTAATTTCAATTACTCTTCTTGAGAGTAGGTAGAACATCTCTCTATACATTTAATCTTTCTTCATCTTTATTGTAAATGATCTGCTACAAACATCTGGTCTATTTTTATGTGTTGTAGCGTGTTCCTTCTTGAATCATAGCTATCTTTAAATATGCAGAAAATTAGCCTATTATGCATGATGCAATAATTTTCCTGATTTGTCATCTGGTTTTGACTTTGGTGCTTTTGCCAGCACTATTTTCCATCTTAATGCATTCAATGCTATCAACATTTTTTTATGTGTTTTTTGGGAATACATGTCATACTAATAGAAGGTCTTCTCTGTCCTGATTACAAAAGAATTCACATATTTTCTTCCAGTCCTCTTAAGCGTTGTTTTTAGGATCTAAGTCTTTAGCTACTGGGAATTTATCCAGGAGTAAGTCTGTCTCAAAGTCATGTAAGTTGTCCCAACTGTACCTGTTTACTCTCTTTTCCCTCCTTATTTGCTACATTTGTCATTTATGAGAATACATTTCCAGCTTTTTTTCATGCATATCTCTTCTAATCTCTTAGTTTCTGAGTTTTCTTTTCTCTCTTTTTTTTTTTCTTTCAGTTTCTTATAATAGTAGGGCTGGCCACTCTCATTGCTTCTTGCCTGCCAGAATTTCCCTGACTCTTCATATTTATTTTCTATAGACTTTAGAATCACCTAGTTGAGTTATGGAAACACAGCACAATAAAAAGCTGTTGGTATTTGGGGTTATATTAAATTTACAGAGTAACTTGGATAGTCCTCATATCATATCACAATCGATCTTTTATAACCACATGACTTGTCTTTCTACTTGTTAAAGTTTACTCCTGGATATGTGGTAGTTTTACTGCTACTGTTATTGTTTCTAACTAGCAGCTATTCTTTGTTTATATTTATATATATTTTACCCTGCTACCTTATGGAATTTTTTTTTTTGTATTTTTTTAAATTGAAGTAATGCAGGTTTACAGCACCTGGATTTAGAGATCAAGTTCACACCTTCTTTTAATGTTTACAGTAGTTTTTCTCGTTGGCTCACTTGGGTTATCTAGAAATTTAATCATATACTTTATAAGTGGTGATAGTTTTATATCTGCCTGCTCCATTTTCATATCTAAATTTATTTCTTATTTAATTCCACTGGGTAGCTGCAAGGTTAAAGAGTAATGGTGGTAGCCATTTCCTTGCCTACTGCTGACTTTGGAAGGAAGGCCTAGACTTAAAGAAGATCATTTTTGTCACAATTTCCTTTCATTAACAAACTCGTCTAGAATAAAATTCCCTCAGTTCTTTTACAGTATGACCCCACTCATAATAAACATCATAAACGGATAAATATCTTCAGCAGTAGGTGCCGAGAGGGAGTTCAAACTCTTACACTCTTCCAAATATCTGGGTCACTGAAATACTGACTTACTGACAGTTCCTGGGTGAGCTGGTGAATCTTCTGTTTCATTTCATCATAATCTCCATATATTCGCTTCCTTACTTTTTCCAAAGTGGCTCTCACCTGCAGCCCACAAAGGTACTAGTGAGAGATCAAACTATAACATGTTCAAATGTAATTTCCAATACTTTTTTGTAAAGATTTTTATTTTATGCATACAGAACTGGAGTACAAGCCAGAGGTGCAGGGGCGGTGAGAGGATTCACCAGAGACAGAGTCAGGAGCAGAACAGGCAGATTGACGAAGTACTCTGCTGAGGGGAGCAGCGGGGCGGGTCAGGAGAGGTCTGCCACACCATGTGGGTCACCTCCAGGGCTGGGATCGAACTCATACTGAAGGGGCTGCAGCATGCCTGCAGTGCTTCATCCTAACCTGTTGCACCACCAGGGGGGGTTGATTTCCAATACTTTTATGAAACCCTGATGACATAAAAAGTCAATCTCACTGTCGCAAAATGAGACAATTTGCGAAATAAGGGAGAAGATCATTGTTGACATCAACTTAGAAACTAAGGGAGTCATTGTCAGTATATATAATTATTAGCAAATACGAATTATCCTAGTAAGAATCCTTGAAGAAAAAATGTTTTTTTGAAAATGACAGATGTTGAACAAGATTTGTCCCTTTTCTTACACTTTTTTACAAGTAGAAAAATTTTAACAGGTTGGCTCTTTAAAGACGAGATTAAAAGCACAAAAAGCAAAAAATAACCTCTAATTTTCGGTCTCTGCTAACATGGTCAGAGGGCAGTTAAATGTCTAGAACAGAAAGCAGGAAAGAGTTCATACACTTGAGAATTTATAATCACCAGTTATAAATGGTGAATCATCACCAGTAATTCACAAGGCAAACTTTGTTATAAAAGTCAAAGTGATCCCCCAAACAGCTGTTCTGATTAGGATTCTCTGTTCTGACACTCAAGTTGGGTAACAGAGTCTTCTGAAAACGCTACAATCAGTCTCTCTTCCTCCTTTCTCTGGATACTCTGGGGATGAACTAAGCCCAAGTTTCAAGTAGACAGGAAGTCTCCATGGGGCCCATTCCAGAAAGGGTCCAGAAAAAAAAAAAAGGCTGAAAGGAAGCACCTGGCCCTTTCCTACTAGAAACCTCCAACTGTTCTGATCTTTCACAAAGAGTGGTGAGGTTGCTAAAGGTCTGGAGGCGAATGAACTCAGTAAGTCCAAGGAACATCAGGTCTAGCCTAGCTGGGTGCCTTCTCAGTTTAGAAAGACCAGTATGTAGGGAACTGCATGGGAAGACAATCTTGAAGCTGTATTTGCAGAGTTAGCACACTGCTATACGTTATACTATATGTTTATTAGGATAACTGGTAGAGATTTTTGGCAAAAGGCAGGAAAAGTCAAGCCACCAAGACTTCCCTAGATGAATTCTAATAATAGAGTCTTGCTGCTAGCTACACAAATTTTAGAGATATATGGCCCAAAGCACAACTTTTCCTCTGGATAGACAGAATAGCCTTCATGCACAGCTCTGGGTTGGCTCTCTGAGCTTACCAGTATGAGTGGAATCTTGAGTTGGGTGTCACTTCCAGGTAAAACTTTCAGGAATCCAACGGAGCCAGAGTTACCCACAAGCAAGAGAGGGAAACAAACCCATAAATGTACTAAGTGGGACCTAGAAATTCATTTTAGGTTTTAGATCACAGTGGAAGTTAGTAATTCAGGTCAGAACCATCCCCACAATCTGAGTAATTGTCATTACTGGCTTGCAATCAGCCTGAACGTGCTATCTTTGTCTCAGGCAATTTGAAACTCTCCACTCTGTTTAGAATATCTACCTCTGAAGCAGTGCCATGCTATCTGGGGCATTTTAATAAGGCAGGTGTAAGTATTTCCATGAGAAAAAATCAAGGAGGCTAGCAATGTTCATGCTCCTCCTATACAGGAAAATCAGGAATGAAATACTTTGAATGGCTAAAAATTATCTTTGGGGGTTGGCTTACTGGAGAGGGTAGGCTGGTGATTGTCACATGTGTTCTCTGTGTCTGTGTATAGGATAGCTTTTCTGGCTTCTCTTCATTTTCCCTCTTACACATTTATTATTATTTTTAATCAAACAATATTACTTTTTGCTCCTCAAAATTATACAAGTATCCAAATCTTTCAAGATACATTAAAGGTGCCTAGAGCACAAAAGTGCTTAATATTCAAGAGGAGACTTAAAAAAAAAAAAACCTTCATACACAAGCTCACAACATGACTTTGTGTCTTGTCTGTAGACCCATCAAGTAAAAATGGCACACAGAGCTGACTGTTTGACTTTAGGGTTCCCTTTCTAGCTCCCACTACCTATACATAAGAAAAGTGAACCCCACAGAAAGCAAAACTTTGGACCTTTAATCAGAGTCCATCTGGCTTCGATTAAACACTTCTGCTTTTATAAACCATAGCAGAGTTCAGGGCCCATCAGTGCCATTTCTTCTGTAATCACTCAGTTTGGATGACAGAGCCCTATAGAGAGGTCCAAGAAAATATAGAGAGGCCAAGAGAATCAAAAGAAATGAAGATAGATGTGATAAATAGGTAGGTAGGCAGGACAGATTAAAAAAAAAGACATGGAAAAGCTTAGAAGGAGGGCCCTCCCTAGTGGCGTAGCGGGTTAAAGCACTGCACTAAGAAGCTACAGACACTTCAGCATGAGTTCAATCCCCACCCTGGAGGTGATCAACATGGCGCAGCAGACCTCTCCTGACCAGTCCGCTGCTCCCCTCAGCAGTGTACTTCATCAATTCAACTGTTCTGCTCCCCTCTCTGTCTCTGGTGAAACCTCTCACTCCCCCTGTACCTCTGGCTTGTACCCCAGTTCTGAATGCATAAATAAATCTTTAAAAAAAAAAAAACTCAGAAGGAAATGCTCCAAAATATTAACAATTCTTCATGTTCAATAGACTTATGGGTGATTTTATTTTCTTCTCCATACACTTTTGTATTTCCCAATTTTATCAAAAGAAGGTAAGATAAAGGTTAAAAATGTAATATTAAATACAAAGAACAGCACTGATTGGCCTGAGTTAGACAACGTTTATTGTGATTAACTTCTTGGAATCCATTTCAACCCAAGTGACTGACCAATCCTGGTCATCCTATTCTGCTTGATTAAGAACAGTGATGTAGCCCAATCCTGGCCAATAAACATAAGGGGAATTCTACTGGAGACCCTCTATAAAGTCCCAGAAATAAAGCAAAGTATCTTTGCTTCCTCCGGACACTGCATCTTTTTAGCTGATGCTGTGCGCCTGAAGCCAAGAGAGGACAGAAAGCACAAAAACTCAGAGAAGTAAAACTAAGCCTGGAAGCATCCTGCCTGGGTCCCACCTACCTTTAGACTGTCCTCACAACAAAGTTCCTTTCTGAAGTGGATTTTGTTACTTGCAGCCAAGAGCATTCAACTGTTTACACTCATTCAAACTCATGTATCAGGAGTGTCAACATAATAAATGACTACTTAGAGTCTCACTTCATACATAAAAGAAAGAAGCCATTTGGTCTCCTGAGTAACCCAACTTAGGAACAGTCAGAGATCATCTCACTGTTGACTACATCTTTTTCAACATAACCATCAAGATCTGTAGAAACACTTCCAACCAAATGACAACACTAAGAATTCTTTCAAATGCATTTTTTACATTCACAACAATGCTTGTAAAGTTATCCTCTTTATTACATGCTACAAAAAGAATAGAAACCAGAAAAAAATCTTCAAATAACTCACATCTTTGATGTAGTTCATCTCTTCTTTCAGCTGATTGGTGGTCCACCCATACACCACCATTTCTTTCTGCTGATTCTGATCAGATCTTCGCACCACACCATAGACAACACCCTGAGGAAGTTTCCTAGTTGGTTCTCCATTGCTTAGGTCTGGATGCTAGAAGAGGGTAGGAAAAGAGGAAAAATAAGAAGCCTCTTGGAAACAGCTCTAATAATGGGCCCCATGATTATGATTATGCAGGCTGTACCCAGGACTGGGGTCCCTGGCAACAGGGAGAGAGGTGGCAGGAATCCAGCCTGGTCTCTGCTCAACAAGTTGCACCTGATATGACTGAGGTAGCCTTTACCTTGGAGGAAATGTACTGTCTACCAAGATCCTGCCCTCTCATCTAGGAGTACATATGCACAGCCCATCTTCCTGAAGGGAATTTTCCTAATTCTCACTAAGCTACCAGATAGATTTAATGTTGTGCCTGAAAACAAGAGTGACTGAATGCTCATATTCCTGGGAATGCTTTCCCTCCCCCCTCTAATACCAGTTCTTCTATATGACTTTGACTTCTTCACTGAATATGTAGGCTGAAATGCATGAGACTGAGATACTCAGGAGAAGAATGTTGGCCAAATTGTCTTCAGGTTAGGGTTGACTCTGGGACCAGTTCTGAGAAAAGGAGGTGGGTGAGTACTCAATGTGTCGTGACCATTCATGAAAAACTAGGAGAGGTGGGGTGACTTCACTCAAAGAATCTTCCTGCTCTTTAATTCCTTCATTTAAAGCTTTGAGCAGTATTGAAAAGCAGATACCCTTGGGAAGTATAATCTATCCAATCCCTAACACAACTCTATAGAAGGAAGACTCAAAAAGAAGGAGAAAGGGGAATGGAGAACTATCTCTGCATGTTTCATCCTCACATTTGTTCGTAACACAGTGACTGCCTTTCCTACTTCATAGCCGAAAAAACTGAGGCTCATAGAAGTATCTAACACACAGTCACATACCTAGAGTCAAGCTCAATTCTGTGTGACATTAAATACATCCCCACACTGCAGACTTAGATGTAAAGTGGACAGACTATAGGCCTGAACAGCATGAAAGGAAAGAGCAAGGAAAAATCAGAACCAGACACTGAGACTTTGTCGACAAAACCAAACTATATGCATGCAATCTTCCTGCTGCTGACCCTGGTACCCCAACAATACAGTACAGAAGCCTGAGTTCCATAAGGGGAACTCTGGTCCCCTACTAATTTTTTTAAATGCATTTCTATTTTTTTTAAAAGATTTACTTATTTATGCATACAGAACTGGGGTATAAGCTAGAGGTGCAGCGGCAGTAAGAGGCTTCACCAGAGAGAGTAGAGAGCAGAACAGGCAGATTGATGAAGTACACTGCTGGGGGGAGCAGTGGGTGAGACAGGAGAGGTCTGCTGCACCATGTGGATCACCTCCGGGGTCGGGGATCGAACTTGCACTGAAGCAGCTGTGGCTAGCTTGCAGTGCTGCATTCTAACCCACTGTGCCACCAGGGCCTCCCACTAAGTTTTTTTTTTTTTTTTAAGATTTATTTATTTATGCATACAGAACTGGGGTACAAGCCAGAGGTGCAGGGGCAGTGAGAGGATTCACTAGAGACAGAGTGGGGACCAGAACCGGCAGATTGACGAAGTATACTGCTGAGGGGAGCAGCGGGTGGGTCAAGAGAGGTCTGCTGCACCATGTGGTCACCTCCAGGGAAGGGATCGAACTCATGTGGAAGTGGCTTTAGCTTCTCAGTGCTGTGCTTTAAACCACTGCGCCACCAGGGAGGGCCCTCTCCCACTAATTTTTAAACCAATACATCAATTCTTTCTATGTACTCACAAAATATTTTTGTCAAAGAAAATTTGCATTCTAACAGAATAATAAATATTTTATGATCCCATTGATCAGAAGTTCTTAAAAACAAAAAGCCACAAAATTTGTGATAAATTATTAATAATAATGATCTCAAAGAAGAGACAGAGGAAGTTTGGGAGGGGGGTGTTGCAGATCTCATTTTTTTTATGCCCTTTGGTAAATGTTTGTTGACAGTGTGGTTTTTGTTGTTTTTGTTTTTAAAGAGAACAAACTATCCATTGCTTCCCACCCTCCTGTACATACTTAGGGTTTATAATATTTGCTTCCAGAAAATGCCTCCCCATGAGTTTCTTACACTGGATTCTGATAGACACTGATAAGATTCTGACAGACACTGATAAGATTCTGACAGACACTGATAAAACTCTGGACACCTGCACACAGGTTAGGTAAACACACTGTTCAAAAGTTCTAACTCAGAGCGACAAGCTGGGAGCAGATACCCCTGAAACACTAGTCACATAATTAGGAAGAGGAAGAGCTCTAATGAAACTTCCCACATACCAGAAACAAAAGCATGTTTCTCAGCACAGACTCCACCCAGTTCCTGAATAACAAGCTGATGGTAATATAAGGCTTTGGTGAAATACACTTCTGCAAAGCAAAGCCTTTCGCAGGTACACTGGCTGGCAGGAAAATGGTAAGGTGGTCAGATACAGAGGACTCTGCCTCCCTGCCCACTCAGAAAGGTGAGGACCATCACTGGAGGAAAATGCTGCAAAACTAAGAGGTTGCGGGTCTAAAGTTATACATATGGAAAGGTAGAAGAGATCCATTATATGAAAACCACTGATTTGCACATTCCTTTTTTTTTTTTTTTTTGCTTTAAAAATGTGTGTTTAAAACATTTAGAAGATGGAATCCAAGCCTTTCAAGGCACTTTCCTCAGTAAAACGGGCTTTCTTTTCTTCCTTAATGTTCTTCTGTACTCTGATTTTTAGAGGGATGGGGATGGCGAAATAGGCCCTATTTTTAAATTAACTTTTATTCAAGTTCAAAAAGCTCAAACTAAAAACTTCTTGAAACGCCAGAATCTAAATAAAAGACCTTCTGGGAGGCCCCTACAGGGCTCTGCTCAGGAGCAGCAGCATAGACCAGTCACAGGAAGGGGATTTCTGAGGCAGCATGAGTCAGTGCCAGGATACCACGTGAAGAAAGAGAAGAAAAAACCGCTCCTGTCTGACCATTTCATAATGTATTATTTTCTTTAACCTTCACACTCACTCTCTTATATAAATATCCTTAGTTCTTCCAAGATGGCAGCATTCAAGGGTCTGTCTATACCTTTCCAAATCTAACTCTCCTTGATCACAATGACTTCAAGATAGCTGAGCATCAGGAGCAGAATGGACCTCACTCATGTGAGGGTCAGACCAAGAGCCTGAGTCCTTCGCCCAGGGCCATTGGGAAGAGTCTTCCCAGACCTAGAAAGGGAAGGTCTTCCCTAGCCTCCTTTGGCTCGTAGCCCCTTCGGCCCTTCCCTCCACCCTTCCTACAGCCTCACTGCCTCCATTTTCAGCTTTTATTGCAGCCTGCTTCCATGGAGTCACAGACTTCCCTCTGCCCAAGGCCCCCTGCTGAGCTCAAAGTTCCCTCCCTCAAGGTGACCTTCAAAATCAGTATGGAAGGGCTTCTAGTATTATTGAGTATGTCAAGTCTGCTCCCTTATCAGCTGGAATCGAGAAACCTAGGTGCTTGTTTGTCGTCTCTTCCACTCTAATCCGCAGCATCTAACAGTGACTACCCCACAAGGACTGAGTGGTCAGGAGTCTGCAGCAGCTAGGAGAGGGGGCAGATCCAGAAATCCAAAGTGGTCCAGCTAAAGGAGTCTGCCTTTGGTCCTCTTAGATAGCACAGGGAGGTGATGTTGGCCTGGATCTCATAACCTTGAGATCTAGAAAAGTTGCAAGGAGTCAAGACTGCTAGTATTTTTACAAAATGTCAGTATACTTATGGTCAAATCTGAAGGAAAGGGAAAAAAACAAAAAAATAACTGATATATTTGGTACTGTTTATAATTGCTTTTTTCTCCTCTCCTATCTTTTAAAATATCTCCTGTAAGATAAATACTCATTTTTAGGCAAGATAATAGTGTTGTGATTATATTATGAGATAGTCTTTATCTTTTAGAAAAACATGCTTAAATATTTAGATGTGGAATATAGGGTAGAGTTAGAGGGTGAGAGTGTACACACAGCAAGGAATGATTATGGGTTGAGGGCTGGTCAATGATTCCTGAAACAATTCAGTCCTTTTTTGTGTATGTTTGAAATTCTCCATAATTAGAAGTTTTGTGGTTTTTTTTTTTTAATTTCCTTATAAAATTATACCAAGGAAAATTATTTCCTTGGTATTTAAAAATCAAATTTGGCCCTCCCTGGTGGCGCAGCGGGTTACAGCACAGCACTGAGAAACTAAAGCCACTTCCACATGAGTTCAAACCCCGCCTGCCCTGGAGGTGACCACATGGCGTGGCAGACCTCTCCTGACCCGCCCGCTCCCCTCAACTGTATACTTGTCAGTTCACCTGTTTTATTCCCCACTCTGTCTCTGGTGAAGACTCTCCCTGCCCCTGAGCCTCTGGCCTGTACCCCAGTTCTGTATGCATAAAAATAAATCTTAAGGCCCTCCCAGGTGGCGCAGCGGGTTAAAGCACTGCACTGAGAAACTAAAGCCACTTCCGCATGAGTTCAAACCCCGCCTGCCCTGGAGGTGACCACATGGCGAGGCAGACCTCTCCTGACCCGCCCGCTGCTCCCCTCAGCAGTGTACTTCGTTGATCTGCCTGTTCTGCTCCCCACTCTGTTCCTTGTGAATCCTCTCACCCTCCGCATCTCTGGCCTGTACCCCAGTTCTGTACGAATAAATAAATAAATCTTTAAAAATAAATAAATAAATAAATAAATAAATCTTAAAAAAAAAATTTAGTAACAGACTCATGCTATGGCTGTTTCTCCAAAAGAAAGAGTTAACGAAAAATAGTCTAGAAACAAAGTGAAAAGCAACTTAACCTAAATTTCTGCTATAAGGTCTTGACTGCTGTCAAAGTTAGGGTTAGTGAGGGCAGTGATATATACGACCTTACACTGAAATAAACTCCACAGAGGCAGATACTGTATCTACTGCTATATCCCACCATAACTAGATGTTCAATAAGTACATTTTGCAGAAGGAAGAAAGAAAACTGGAATTGGGTATATGCCAGAATAGTTGGAGTATCTAGTCACCTAGGAGACTGGTGATAATTTGCCCAAAGGGATA